TGTGTACTATGCCCCACCAGAGTCAAGGCATAGCAACCAAAAACTAAAATTAAATAAGTGTGTCAGTGTCTGTATTCAGGAATTTCCTAACAATATGGCATGTATTCAATATAGTGGCCTTCTGTATTATTATTATTATCATTATCAACCCGTCTCGATTATATATATAGATACATCAAGCAGAATAGTAGATAATGTCACGTAAAAATAATGAATAATAGTCTCTAAAATATCAAAACACGTTAAAAGTTTTAATATTAAAATGCTTTTGTTAAACATACCTTTATCTGTAAAATTTTATCTATAATACTGAAAATTTTAAATGTGTTTTAAAGATCTAAACATCAAAATCATATTTCTTAAAAATAATACGTTAACAATATTTTATCTACCGTATTATCATATGTACGACTATTTTCATTGTATATGTATATTTTACAGCGTCTAGTTAGATAAATATAATAAAGTTATATTAAACAAATATGATACTGCTATCAATATATCATTAGATTAGTTAATAAACTCCTGGAAAAACAAGTTTTATATCTTTCAAAAAGTATGATGAAATAAATCCAATATATTGTGATGTTTCGTTTGAGGGCAATATATTATTGCAGACAGGAAACATATAAAACGAGTAAAAATACAAATTTTTTTTTTTATTCATCAAACACAGGTTCTTTAAAATGATTCCAACTTACAGACTATTGGGTTCGTATACATACAATAATCGTCTACACAAACAAGCCTCTATTGTGGCAACCGACACACGACTTATAGCTAAACTTAACCTACTTACAAACTAAGGAAGGAGAAATAAAATATAGATAGGGATAGTAGTAGAATAAAGGAGAAAATATCCGGGAGTTTTCTGCCACGTGGTCTCGGATGATTCACCGTCTTGAAATTCTTAATGACTGCAGACCTTATTTTCTTTCCTCTTATGAACGTCTACGTTTTCTGAAGTTGTCTTGTGGTCTTCCCGCTTGCTGTTACTTGAACATGGGGGAAACTCGATTTCTTTAGCAACTGCCCTACGTTCCTCTATAATTCAGCCGTCTTACAAGGTTCCGATACCTCTGATCTCTCAATATGCGATCAGGGTATGATCCTCCTTCGGTTTTCTATCGCAAGGTTTCTTACTTCTTGCTCGACCCCTCGGTCAGGACCACACTCGTTTTCGTCCTCTCTCGACGAAATCGCAGCCGCTTCTTCTCTTTCACCTCGCCTCCTCTCCAGAAGGTTATTGATCCTTTTGTCTTCTTGACATTGTTTCACAGAATCGGTGATGTCACCCGAGGGAATAGAGATTAAGGGAGAAAGTTCTAGAACAGTTAAGACAAAAGAACAGAGGAGATACTAAGCCTAACTAAAATTAACAAAAATATATATAAAACAATGGCCGACGGCCACAATATAATATTTATCCGCTTATCCTTTTCTGTATTCGCTATTGTTTAATTATCATTTATCGTTTTTTATTTACGTAATATGTTTACTTTAAGATGATTCTCACTATATATAATAATGCACAGACTACACATGTAGTCCTACGTTATATTATAGTTAAATTTTGCAATGCACGCATTTTATCTGTTAATTCTTATAATTATTTTTTTTATCTAGATTAGGGTTCTCCAAAGTAAAGTTTTTTGACAGTCGATCCCTTCAAGGATTCCTCGGCTTTTTATTGATTCTCTTCTTGTTGTTATTATTACATGTCTTTATTTAATTTACTTTGTATCACATCCTTAAATCTTGCAACTCATATTTCATCTACTGTACTTCTAATTAAGATAGAAGGCTGAAATTTTGAAGGCATACTTAAGTCAGATGACAAGATATTTTAACATTTTAGGTGTGGCTCACCCTAAATCCGATAAACAGCCAAATGTAAATTTAGTCATAATGTGTGTGTGTAAATGCACTAGTAAATGGTGTATATAATGGGGAATCCCGGAAAAACATGTCCAATAAAAAAAAAACATAAAAAAATTTTTTTTTAATATATACTAAAATTTTGGCTAGTACAATTAATAAGTAAGTAAGTAAATGTTTTGGGAATCGATTGAAAATGGTTCATTAAAAATTATTAGCCCAATAGATCAATTAGTCTAATAGCCCAATAGTCATTAAAATTATTAGTCCAATTATTTCACAGATCAAGATGAAGTATATTTGCTACTAAGATCTTGAAAACTGTGTAGATTAATTAATACTGGATGCTGAGCACACCGTTTCCATACAAAAGATCTATTTTTGTATTATATATACAAATTTGCTTAGTAATAAGCAAATTTACATCATCCTAAAATTTAGGATGATGTAAATGGTATATATATGACAATTTAGGTCCTAAATTGTCATATATACACCATGAACCGTTTCAAGGACCTGCCGATTTTCCACCCGAAAAAAAGTGCTTATCTACCGCTTTGTGGATCCTGCTTTAGGCAGTTTTTTTCCGTAAAATGATGTGCTCTACCATAAAAAGATCGGTAATAAATATCCAAAATGTAGCTGCAGTTTTAAATTTAAAACTTTTACTACAAAGACTATTAATTAATAAGTAAATTTTTTATATTTTTTATTGATTTTAAATTATTCATATACTCATTTCTACCATTAGCAAATGCTGAAAATCTATTTCATTTACATTGATATAAATATGTAGATTTAATTATAAAATTTCATATTAAACAATTTCAAAACAAGGAAATTGATTATTTTTATTAAAACTACAGTTACAGTACTACTAAAGTTAGACCAGCAGGATGACAAGATGGCCCATTTCCTTGACCTCAATATTTTCTTGAATCATGGCTGCATAACCACAAACGTATTCTATAAGCCTAATCTTCAATCTTACTTTATCCCTGCAACCTCGAATGACCCGTTTACTTATAAAATATCCGCTTTCAGGGTTCTAATCCGCAGAGCTTTCACCCATTTCTCTAACATTAAGGACGCGCTACGAGAAATCCAACGCATCAAGCGCCTCGCCAGTCTACGGTTACAACAGTAAATTTATTGATAGGCTTGCGCGAAAAATTCATAGATGCTTAACAACCGAAGATGTCAATTCCAAACCTCTAAAGCAACAAAGCGCATTACCGTCGATTTCGACCCTAGAATGAGCCAAGCCTTTAAATTCATAGCAAAAAGGTCAATGCTACTCTCACATACAGACGCAACCCTACGATTTATAAACTTCTGGCTAATACCAAGGACAAATGCAGCGAAGCCAGGAGACCAGGAGTCTACACGGTCCCACTAGAGCAGTGGTTCTTAACCTTTTTATACTCGCGACCCACCAAATATTTCACAATTTTTTGTGACCCCCTTTTTAAATAATAATTTATATTCGTTAAATTATCTATAATAAATTGATTTTTTTATTATTGCTTTATTTTTTTATATAATAAATGTAAAAACATAACTTTATTATTTTATTATCTATTTAAATAAGATTCAAACTCCACAATTAAACATAAAAGCTCATTAATTTTTAACAAAAAATAAAATAAGAAACATTTAAAAATTCGTAGAAAAAACAAAAAATATTCGAAAATACGTACTTGCGAAAGGCAGCAAATTTTGCATTGCTGCTGAAAACAGGGGAGGATTTTCTGCACGAATTTGTATGAAAAACTCCAAGCATTAATAGTTTTAATAGTTTCTTAGAATTACTTTGAAATAAAAGAAGTAAATAGTGCGGTGTAAGTAGGAAAAAATAAATAAAAAACTAAATACGAAAACTTTATCTTTCACTTTTCAATACGATATTCGGTTATACATCAATTTCCTTTTTATTATATTCTGAAGGAAATTTTGTGTAATTTGGCGGCCCCCGGCAAACTTCTTACGGACCCCCAGGAGGCCGCGGCCCCCCTGTTAAGAAACACTGCACTAAAGGACAGCAGATCTAACCCGTGCAAAAAACTAACATACATTGGCTCAACCAATAGCTCAGTTAAAAGGAGGATAGCTGAACACAAATACGACGCATACAACAAAAAGTTCACTTCCACCCTTTTTTTTTTTTTACTTGTCGCGTTTATTTTCCAATTCTGCTTTCCAAGTTAGCACCTTTCCCATTTATGGTCGTTAGCACGTCTTTTCTTATTATATCATTAGCTATTTAACGACGTCAGCATCGTCTACGCTCCGTTATCAAATCTAACGTCACTCCCCATTAACCCCCTATCGTGATAGTGCATCTTCTTTACGTAGCGCGTTTATTTTCCAATTTTATTTCCCAACTTTAGCGATTATCCCATCATGAACTACCTGCACACCTTCCTTTTTACCAAAGGAAAAATTTAACGCCCTCTGTATAGTCTATACCATATCATCAACGATGTCGTCACTGGTAAGACGATACCTATGTAAACATTTGACACCGTTTAAATTTCTACCAACCGACGCTCTAACAGACCATAGTGTACCTGAAGAAAGCCTATTAAGAAGGCCGAAAACGTTCGTACTCGTCTATAAACGGCTAGAAACAAGTGAGAAAGGTTTTGTCTTGGTCATCTGTCATATTGTATAGCATCTCATAAAAATTTGAAGAATAATTTAAAATTAATACAAATATGAAAATGTAACGTATTTATCAGATACATTACAGTCGACCTTCCTATAACACTGTTGATAATTCCGTTTTATATGAATTCCATGTTGTATGAGTCACTTAGATTTTACAAATATGTGTGCCGGGCTGTGAACGGCTCACGTATTTGTAAAACTTAAGTGACTCGTACAACATGGAATTCATATAAAACGGAAAAATCAACAGTGTTATAGGGAGGTCAACTGTACTGTATATTTTAAAATTACATATCTCATACTTCAATATAGAATACTTAAATTAATTTTCAATAAGTTATATTTAGTTTATTTATATCTTACAGGAGATCAATCAAATTTGTAATCTACAAAAAATATAAAACTGTAAGAGACTCCAAAAAGTAGTTTGAAATAAAATAAAAATTAATCACCTCAATCTTCTCAATGGTCCTTTTTTTATTAATAGAAGAGAATTCAATTACATCACATGAATTTTGAACTGTTCTAATTCACAGTTCTTCTTCAGCAGAAGCACAGAAAGGAAAGAGGCAGTATATTACTCAAAACCTAGAGAAAACTGCTGTGCTATCTGATTTAATAATGTATCAATCTGTAAAAATCTGCATAGGATCATTCTTTTCCTTATCTACAAATTTCAGATAAAGAAATTTGTAGATAAGGAAAAGAATATTTTAAAATATCTGTATAGAATTACATTACATTTCATTTACATCATGATGAATTTATGTATTTTAATCTTATTGCTGCTAAATGTTCTTTAATTAGTTTCTCCAAATAATTCATTATAAAAGTTATAATATTTTACATTACTTTCCAAAATTATGTGAAATTAATAAAACTTTTCTAAAACAGACTCTACAAAACAGAGTCCTTTTCCTACATCAAAAGTAAATCTCAGAATAGAACAATTTGCTCTGTAAAATGTTAACCCAAATAAAAATATATGAGATGTAAAAATTGTACCAAGAAAAAACTTATGACAATTTACATAACAGCCAAATTGTTCTTTTAGGAGTTTTTCTTTGGTAATGATAAGTTTTACACTTTAAAGCAGTACCATAATAATTTTATGGATCTTGTAAGATGGGAAGTGAAGATATTATTATCTATTTCACTTCCAAACATCAAGCTTATCTTTACTGAAAAAAAAACTCCTAAGAAAAAATTTGACTGTCATCAATAAATTGTCACAAGTTTTTACTTTGAACAACTTTTTTACATCTCAGATGCTTTTGTTTGAATATCAGTTATTTTTTTGGTTAATGATGGTTTATTATATAAGACAAGGATATACAATTTTCTCAGCACTTGGTGATGGTTGCTGACTGAATGCTTTCAATATGCCATTTAGAAAAATCATTATAAAAAGTTTTTATTCACATAAATTTGAGCTTTTGTTATTCTAGATAACAATTGAATGAAATCATTTGTTTCCATGCAATTTTATTATTATAGCATGAAATTAAGCCATAAAAATGAAATAGCTCTATGGGGAACCCATGAGCTTATCAATCTGGATGTTTTACTGGCATCTCACTGATAACAAGAAAGGCTTAAATTTAAAATTTGAACTTTCTAGACATGGTAGTTTTTCTCAGGAGCATCTGCAGTGTTGGATGAAGAAAATACAGCCTTTTGGCAATTTTTGCACCTTTTGATTGCTTTGATTGCTTAATTAATTTGGCAATCCTTTTACAGAAAATCTCTTACTACCTAAGAAAACAATTATCTTTCAAATGAGATATTCAGAATTACTTTAGGAATTTCAAGGTGGAGAAATCAACCCCTGAAAATTGGCAACCTGAATCACCTCTTATATATAGTCAGTCAGTGACTTTTCACTTTGTGCAGTCACTGCCATGACTCTTGATATAAACCAAAACTTATCTAACATAAAATTTCAAAAGTGTTTGGCTGCCAATTGTATAACATAATCTGAGTACATTGGAATTTGTTTGGCATAGCTGCAGTTAAATTCTAAATCATAACTGATGCTTACAGGACCATATTCTTGACAATGAGTGTTTAATTTTTTTATTTGTTACAATTGCATTTTCATTAACTAGAAAATAATCACAATATTGAAATATTTCTATTTCTCCTCATGAGTAAAAAATATTTAAAAACAAGCACTATTTTTATTTCAAATTTGAAAAATCTAAAATAACTATAGTTATTATACCTACAGGAATTGCAATTTTAAAATATAGACTCTAAAAACCATCTAATGCAGTAGTATTCAAACATTTTCAATCACCTTAAACAATCTTCTTCAGGAAAAATAACATTCTACTAGTAGAAATATATTACTGCATTAAATGATTTTTAGAGTGTGATAACTATAGTAATTTAAGTTGTATATAGTGATAAAAATAAAATAAATTTGTTGCATTTCCTTCGTTTCATAAATAAGTTATCAAATGATTACAGTAAAACATTTGAAAATAAAATACTTCTATTCTTTCCATATTAGATAAATAAAAGCAGCAATCAATTGGCCAAAATTCAGAACTTCATTGCAGACACGAGGAATAAAAAAAATTTATAACAACAATTATTCTTATAGATAAAATAAAAGTAATTTTTAAAAATTGATCACAATGCCAGGCTGCAATGTTTCATCATCTTTTTATTTAAAACATTATGACTTATAGTCCAGACTGAAAATTTGTATACAGTTAATCAGAGCCTCTGACCTTAAGCTTTCCACATTCAGTCTCAATTTTCATTTATCTATCTATCTATCTAATCATGTTCTTGAAGAGATGTGAAAAGATCCCTAAAAACAAAAATATACAATATTCTTATAGAGAAAAATGAGATCTTCATTAATTTTGAGATCCCTTCTCAATTTGAAAGGAGATCTCAAAATTCATAATAGACAAATGAATGGACAACAGTGAGAATGTATAAGTTTGTAATCTGAAAATTACAGCCCAATAAAAACTGAAAAGTTCTGTATTAGTCTGACTTGAATAAATTTAATTCATTGAGTGCTGATCTAAACAATTAGATGGATTGGGTTTTTACATAGATCTTTTTTCCCTTTGTATACACATACAACCTTAAAACATAAAACACTTATATTGGAGAAGCACTTCCAAACAAAAGTTGTATAACATTATTTTTAACCTTTCTTTTTTCTGCATAAAAACATAACATATTATAAAATAAAAACCTGCTATAATAGAAAGTTCTGATTGAAACTATCATGTTCTGTTTTAGTTTTTTAATACAGTGAAATCTCTAAGTATACCTGAATCTCTTATAAATAATAAGATCTATGTATGCAACAATCTACTGTATTTAAAACTACTGGCATGAAAATGACTATACATTTATGAAATGAAACATAAGTACAATTCTGACTATAATCTAATGTTTTCATAACTAGTATCATCTTTATAAGTACCAATGAATACTTATGAATATATTTCTAAAAATATTAAACAGAAAACTTTTCAATATGTATGAATTTCTAAACATAATTTTGTAAAATTCTCATGTTGGGTCACAAGATAAGGTATTACGGAATGAAGCAAGAATTAAGAAAGGATGTATAAACAAACTTTGGAGATATACAAGCAAGGACAAAAAGGAAAGTGCATTAATATCAGAGAGACAAATTCATTATCAGAGGCCTGGAAGGTTTTTTTTATATGGTTAATCAGATGTCTGCAGGTCACATATTGCATTTGGACCATCTTAAATTTTGCTCAAATTTGGTATGTAGCTTCCTAAACTAAGCAAAAGAAATTCTGCAAAATCTTAGGCCTCAATATGCAAACTTTGTCCCTTAAATGGAAGTGGTCAAAATGTCACAAAACTAATTTGAAACATTTCCATTTTTGGCATGTGCCTTCTAGTAACTAAAGGCTGTTATACACGTTACAGAAATCCTTTGAGGATTAACCGTGATTTTTTTTTCTATCTATCCACCTTTAAATAAAAATAATTCTTTATACGTTGGGAAATATTTTAATAAGTTTTGTAAATTACTATGTTCGATCCAGCCAGTTATAACCGATTTTTTTTCATCTGTTAAGTACATCCTTTGAGGATTTCTGTAACGTGTGTAACAGCCTTAAGGCAGATATTTTCTTGAAAACTGCTGCATCAGTTTACTGCTTTGTATGGTGTAAACCAGTGGTTCTCAACCGGGGGTACATGTACCCCTAGGGGTACAAAGCGTAAATAGAAGGGGTACATCTGACTTTCATTATACAATGGCGCATGTTAATGAATTTGCTGTAAATTATTAACACAAGAAAAAACAAAAACTTGCTTTAAAATATCCCAGTACAAACACCGATTTCCCTTTTAACAGTCCAAACAACTTGTTTATCCGCTCAATTTACCCGTCTATTTGTGCCGTTAGTGCCGAGTGAACCTGTAGTCTAGTAAAATTTCGATTTAACCGAGCATTAATTTTAGAATAGATGTCAGCGGATTGGCAGTACTTTTAGGTTTTGTGAAATATCAGTACAACGATGAGCTTTGCGAAGATTTGTTAATGTGCCACGGCCTAAAACATACAACTACGGGTTTTGATATTTTCAATAAAATCAATGTTTTCATTCGAAATAATGAAATAGATTGAAAAAAGTGCATCGACATCTGCACTGATGGAGCTAAAGCTATGCAAGGTCCAATTTAAAAGGTCTAAAGAAAACTTTTACCATTTAAACGATGTATTTGTGACAAAAAAAAAAAAAACAGGTTTGACACATCAGCAGACATTCGTTGTCAGTTAATAAGGTGGGAACAAAATTTTGAAAAAAATTGCCGAAGATTTATTGCAACAAATATTTCATTAAATTGTTAGAAATTATTGTAGAATAATTTAAATTTTGTTTATCATTAATTATAATTATTTATTTTTAGGAAATGTAATTTATGCACGTATTGAAATGACTTGTGATATTATATAATATACTTATCAAATAATAATAAATAAATGTATGTACCTGTTTAAATTTATTATTTACGTAAAATAAGTAATCCACTTTTAGTTATAGTTAGAGCTTTTTATGGCTCTCAGTTATAAGAGCTGTATACATCTAACGCAGTAATTATAAAATTTACGTACAAAAATATAAGGGGTACTCGAGAAACAACTAATGGGCTAATGGGGTACATCAACAAAAAAGGTTGAGAACCACTGGTGTAAACTATACAGATTTGAAAGGTCAATCTTGATTACTCTCTTTACCAGCTGCAGTCAAAATTGGAAAAATTTGTTATGGTAAAAAAGTTTCAAATTTTTGACAGCTGTATTTCCTGCACAAATCATCTCAGAAGGAAAATCTTTTGTGAGACTGTTGACTAGATGATTGTTAATAAAGCCTGCAAATTTAATTTTTTTTGTAGTCATCTAGTTTTGGAGATATTTTAAGAACATGCTTCCAAAAAATTTGATAGTAAATTTTGCTCATTTTTGAAGCCCATTATCTCAAAAGGGATATTTCAAATTTCTTTGCTTTAACCACCATTTGAAAGATCTGTTTTCTCTACAAGAATATTGTATTTTTTTTGTTTTTGGGATCTTTTCACATTTCTTCAAGAACATGATTCAAAATTTTCTTTAAAAGTATATCTATTTTGCTTCCATCATATCATCTAATTAACTAAAAGACTAATTTATATAATCAAGATGGGTTGGTTAATAATAATAATAATAATTATAGGGCCCAAATCGTTAGGAGTTGAAAGTTGAAATTTGGTACACAGTTAGGGTATGTCATGAGAATGTACACTAAGAAGGGATTTTAGAAATTCCCCTTGGGGGAGAGGGTTCAGGATTACCTTGAAGAACTTGGCTTCTACTATACTATTTTAGATGTGGTTTTTAGCATTTTTGCAGGAAATCAAACATATTTTTAAACCCATTTAATAATTCTCTAATTAGTCTCAGAAGAGGGGTGACCTAATTCTTGCACCAGGTGAAAATGGGTAAGATCAGCTATAATCTTAATCTTTGCTATTGTTACTTTTTGCCGAGCAATGCCGGCTCATCTGCTAGTTATATTATAAGCCAGTTTGATAGTACAGATGAAAATGCAATTATTTTCATGGAAGTTGTATAATTTCTACTTCAACTGCAATAGTTCATTCTTTAATCTTTCATTGGACTTTTTTCTAATTGATCTATATACAAAAAATTTGCAAAAACTGGGACCTGTTTCTCAAATAATTCTTGGTTGAATAATCTTAACCTTTTGCATACCTAGTGTTTTTTCAAGGACATTATAATTTACCTCATTTTATTATTATTGATAAAAGTGTCATTCAAAAAGTATTTTCTTTGAAGATGTGTACATTTTTTAAAAACTGATTGCAAGAAATTTAAAAAAGAGAATATATTTACATTTTTTCATAATTTCAGGCTTGCTAAGCTTGGCAAAAGTTCCCCGTCCATGGCTGGACTTGCCTGGCTATTGGGTTTGACCTCTTGGAAACAAGGATACCAATAAAATGTCGTCATCATTTTTTTGTTGAACCATATGGTAGCCCTCAATTGAACTATTTTTCGTACATTACACATGTATACCTATCTATTATTCATAACAAATTTTGGTAAGAGCATATATACTTAGTGTTTCATATTATGCTTTGCTATATATGTATTTATTAAATAAATGTATGTATTATTTTTTAATTTGAAATATAAATGAAGTGATCAATGTCCTGAATTAAGCAGGACAATCCCACTTTTTAATGTGCTGTCCCAATTTTTAAACTGTTTGAAAAATGTTCTGATTTTGGACTACTTCACAATCACATACAAAAATAACCAATATTCATTGCATGAATTGTAAATCAAAGATGAATTACATACAAGTTATAGAATAAAAATTTTAGTACTGTATTCCTTTTATAGAAACAATAAATTGCCCATTGAGATATATGGATATTGTCTAAGAGAATATGGATAGGTAAGATGTTCATTGGTTGTTTAAAACATCTGTTTAAAATTATGTTATAAAGCTAAAAACTGATGATTGTCAGTTTGAACTGATCATAAGATACAGCTGATGTCAAGTGGAAGCATCTGCCTAACATCTTGCTTCTTGCATTTCAAGATCTAGTCACTTTAAATATAAATAAATTTCAATAAAGCAAAACTGAAATATACTTATTTATTAATAAATTCTTAAATACATTTTAAAGAATAATTTGAAATCTATACATTTAAAATGACATACTATATTGCATTATTATACTATTATTGTTTAGCAGAAGGTTGAGGAAGTCTAAATTTTTCCATCTCAAGCATTAAGTCTACAAATGTCCATTTGTTATGTTCATAATATTCTGGAACTTTATAATCATCTATATTACTTGATTCAGATGAGGTAACACTTATACCTAAATAAATTAGTTTTAAAATTAAGACAGAAATAGTAATACATTATAATATATATTAAATACATGTAATATGTTAAATATTGTACCTAATATTTAATAATATATATTAAAAATGAAACATTTTTATTTGTATTTTATAAAATAGGAATATCATATTAAAACCTTCCTGTAATTAAAATATTTAAAGAAAATATATTTTTCTTTTAAAGATTTAACTTTTGAAAAGAAACAGTTATAGAAACCTTATTATTTTATTAAGAAATTAATCATTTATAACAATGGTATTCAAACATTTTAAAAGTGCGATCCCAAAGTAATTATCTGTGACTCCATTTGGAGTCGCGACCCATAGATTGAATATCCCTGATTTATACTATGTTTACATTAACTTAAACTTGTTCAGAAATAACCATATTTAAAGTTTAAATAAATTTTACTGCCATTCCCTGACTTTCTACTAAAAATCTTATTCCCTGATTTTCCAGGTCTGTAAGAACCCTGATCATAAAAAAAAATTATCAATGCTTTTAAATTAAGTTTTAGATAATACAGAACAAGTAAGTATTTAATTAATATTATAAATCAAGTTTAGACATAAAACACAAAAGTATATATATATAGGTTATCCAAAAAAAGAATTGAAGGATTACAAAAAGTATTAATTATTTAAGGAAATCAATCAACACATGGTTTTCAGTAATCATCTGCAAAGCTTAAAATGTTTTTTTTGCATTACAAAAACAGAGGGTATAACTGTTGCTGCAAGTAAAACTTTTTCTTGTCCCATCCATGGGTTAAGAATAACCCATGGTTGGATAAGATGAATCAATTCAATTTCCATTCCACTTTTGACATAACCACTTTGTCTTGATATTGTGATAGTAATGCACAAATTGAAATCTCTTGAAAATAAGAAATGTTTTTGAGTTTTCTCACTACTTAGGACAAACCATGTGACATCTATTTTTATGAAATAAATGTGTTTTAGTAATCCAACTGGAGATTTATTCTGAATTTTATCATTAAGCTAATGAATGTAACAAAAATCAGTTTCTATCAGAACAATGTAATTAGCATTTAGTGAACTATGAAAATGCTATTTTATAATGTGTTTTGTTTTTGGTTCTAATAACCACAAGATAAGTAAATATCTCTTATTGGTCATTCTCAAGATCTATTAGGAACATAATGAAAATAAAAAGAATGTTACAGATTTAGGTGTATGGCTAATATTATTTTGTGAACAATTAGAAAAAGAACACAGTAGAACCTCTATTATCCGGACTAATTGGGGATGAAGGTAGTCCGGATAAGGAAAAATCCGGATAATCGAAAAAATACTTTAATTTGTCTTTTAATGATAATACAATACGTTTTCTTTTCGATGACATATCGGTAATATTAAAAGTAAATACTGTATTTAAATCGTGATCAGATTTTCAAGAAACAAACGTTCGTATTGAATTTGTACTACTACTGACCAACGCTAACAGACTACCTATTGTTTAAAAGGCCCTCTGGCGGCTCAAGAATAAGGATTTTATAAAATAAAAAGCAGTTGAAACTGCATTTTTATGAATAAAAATTTGACAAACTATCATTTTATGACGAGTAAAATATTTTCGTCGCGTTCGCGGCTTTTAAGTAATGCATAAACCTTCGAAACGCGAGGCCCTTCGGACCGCGAGGCATAGGCGGTGGCCCACGTCGTCCATGCCTTACGCCGCCCTTGGTCATAGAAATGATTTAATTTGAATATAAATTATTTATAAATACGTTTGTCAAGTTATATTTTTATTACGACGTAAAATATATTTAAGAGTTTACGACCACTGTGCTGGGTGAGACGTTGTTGAAACAAAAAAAGTTATGCATTCCATCATGTACATAAACAGTGTCGTAATTCGCCAAGTGCAAATCAGCAAATTCGTAAAATTTTTGTTTATTTTGGACAATCCGGATAATCGAAAATCCGGATAATGGAGGTCCAGATAATGGAGGTTCTACTGTATTAGTATTTGTCATCACGAATCTCAGTTTATGCTTCAGGTGACAATTTTCAGCTAAATGATACCAATTTAAAAAAAATGTGTGTCATCTTCCAAAGCCATTACTGTTGTATTTATGTAATGAATTATGAGATAAGCTAGAACTGAAGTGTTATAAGAAAAATGCTCTATCCATAGAAATAAAAGTAACTTTTATAATGTTAATTAAATATTTACAAATAATTGATTTATTGTTAAAATTTAAGTGAAAAATAAACAACTATATTATTAATACTATTTTTAAAATATATTATGTTTCATCTGCATAATTATGTATAAAATGACAGCATTGAACATAAATACATTATATAAAAGATGTGTTTATATTCTTTGATAAAAAATTTTCACACAAAACAATTTGGCTAACACTAGTATAGTGATTTTCAACCACTGATTTTTGAAGTGTGTCACTACTGTGAATATCCATACATAAGCAACGTCACAAGTAGTTTAATCGATTCTACCTTCCTAGAGCGTGTTTGGAAATTGTAACCAGTGTTACTGGTAACTGCTGGTAGTTACCAGGCATTTAGAAAATATGACCTAAATAACCAACTGTGTTTAAAAATCAGTTATGATGTCACTGGTTGTCCTACAGTACTTACTGAAGTAACCGTGAGTGCTGCCAAATTTTTAAATTATTAAAAGTGTACCATGACAAAAAAAAGCTTGAGAATCACTGCACTAGTGCATGACAATACTAAAAACATGTATTTTATTTCAAAAAAAAAAACTTTGATTAGTTAGAACATAACAACTATCAATAATATGGAACCCAAACTCATCTCAACTGTTTATCCAAAGTGAAACCTATTTAACATGAAGCAGAGAATAGTGATTTCGCCAAGGTTCATACCTGCCTTTTGCTAAGAACTTTTACTGAATGTCTTGTGTATCCATTTCATTGAGTTATCAGAACTCAGAATAGATTCTCAATTCTTTTTCAGATAATCTGTATATTCAAACATATATAAGGATACAAACTATCATTTGATATCATTTCTCATTAGCAAATAGCTTTACATGATACTTTTATTACATTAAGTGTTATGTAACTACATGTGCATTTTTTCATTTTTCATTCTGAGAACTGTGCTATGATATAGACCTCGAGTGCAAGTTACTCATGCGCTGCCCTGGTACGAAATATTTACATAACACATGAGTTTGCTAAAGAATGCATATGTTTTGTATCTGAGACATTTCAAAAACTGTACCTAGTCCTGTAAATTGTTTATTGTTTTTTAATTTGTATTTGTATTATAATGTTAAAAATAGGAAAATCAAATGTAAATCGTTCTGTATTTGCAAACACTCAACATGTAACGTTTTGGCATTACATGTTGAGTGTTTGCTTCAAACTTGTTCAAAGTTTCATTTTATTGTTTTTCTGCATGTCCACACCTTAAGCAGAAGCTATAAATTTGGTTAAATTTTGTTAAAAGAGTAAGTAATATAAAATTTATTGTTAATTTTTAAAAAGTTGATACAAATAGTTTTCTAAAAATATCCTTGCAAATATAGTAAAAATGGATTACAGTGGCTACTCTCTAAAACAGCATGGATATGCAGTATGCATCTCATAGATAGGGACAAAAATTGAAGATCCAAGATGTCCAATCCAACAATCTATCCTGAAAAAAAATAAAAAAGCAATGACGAAAATTGTCAACATGAACAGTCAATGGAGAGATATAAATGCTTAATGAACAGAAGGAACATTTCATTTAATGGAGGAAGAAAACACTTTGATATAGCAATTGAAGAAAATTGTTTAGACCCTAAAGAAAAACCAAAATTCTACTTTGAAACTCAAATGAAGGTTAAAAACAAAAAGATTGGAGATTTAAAAATTTTTATGTGCATGACTGGTAACAATGTTTCTGAAACTCAAATTTCCCATGTTAAAATGATTTCAAAAGAATGTGAGAAAATCATAGGTCATGTCATTTTAGTGGTGTAGCAAGTTTTTACGATGATCAATCTTTAAAAGATCTAACATCAATAGGATTCAATGTTTTCAATTTACTTTTAGGTATGCTTCCAAACAATCCTGTTAGAGTTTATGAATTGTCTTGGGAAAATATGTTACTAATTTTTCTAATGAAGTTAAAGTTGGATTTGTGCTATTCAGCATTAGGTGCATTGTTTAGAATTCATAGAACCACCATTAAAACATATTTTTTACAAATTTTATAGATGATTTTTATTGCAACACAAGGTTGGATTATTTGCCCAACAAAATTATTTATTAAGGCTACATTATCTCAATCATTTAAAAAAAAATTATCCTGAAACAAGAGTAATCATTGACTGTACACAAATTAAAACTGAGAAGCCATCATCAGTTCAACATCAAATTCAGTTTTATTCCTACTATAAAATATTTAATTGGAATTGCCTTATCAGGAAGTAGTACAGACTTGTTTATAACAAATGATTGTGGTATTCTGCAAAAACTGAAGGAAGATATTGTTATGGCTGATAGAGGGTTTCCTCAAATTAAATTGGGTGTCGAAAATAAAAAAATTTATTTTAATTATGCCTCCTTTCTCAAAACCAAATCAAAAGCAATTTAGTGGTAATGAAATGGATGAAACATACAAAATTGATTGTGTAAGAATTCATGTTGAGAGAACTATTGGTAGAATTAAAATTTTTAAAATGTTGAACTGCCCATTTCACTTCTTCCATATATAGATAAAATAATGTTTGTTTATTCAGTATTAGTAAATCTGCAGCCTCTAATTATAAATGAGTGAATTCTTTTTATTGTGAAAACACTATAAAACTATTTACTTAAATACTCTTTACAACTGTAGATGAATTGAATATTTGTTACATATAAAGCTAATTGGATTTGTGTATAATACACGTTACTCTCTTTTAAATAAAGTTCAGAATTTTTTAACTCTAAATATTTTACAAACACCTCATTTGTCTTGAAATCAACAATTTTTTTTTATCTTTACATGTGTAAGGGCATTTAATTTCAAGTAAGCTTATTTTATCTCCTTTTTTATATATACCATCAATGCTTGCAAAAACCAGGGAGCTTCATCACAAATGATAACTCCTGCATCAATTATTTCTTTTTAACCAAACAGGATTTTTTTTGCAATTTTCTCCAATTTAATTCCATATTCAATTGCAATTGTTACTTTGAATGTATTATTTAAAAATCTAAAAGTCAATTTTTCAAAATTGTTTTTTCTTGTTTTTATAGAATGAGCCATAGAGTGGCTTAATCTGTACTATTTATAATGAACCAGTCTGGACACATGCTTTATTTTTTCATGAGAAATGTTATTTGAATAATTTTTAGAAGTATGATAACCACACTGTTACAAAATTTTAACAATTTTTCTGAAATGATAACATTTTTAAATGGATTAAGTTTTTTTGGTTTTATCTTTTTAGGTAGTTTATCAACAATTTTATAACAATCACTCATACATTTCAAAAAATGGTCTAATTAAAGATTTTAAATACAATTCCTCACATTTTTCATGAACTGTGTTGATCAAATCAGATAGCAGCACTTGACATTGTGCATCTTCATCAAATTCAGCTCTTAACACTGAAGAAAAAGCACAATTAATGTGTTTTACTCTTTGATATAATAAAAATGTTGGTGGAATTTTTATCCTTTTTGGAATTAAACAGTTACTAAGACAACATCCTGATGTGTATATCTTCTTAAATTGTGGAATTCACCATTGTTGTTCTCCACAGGTAATGCTTTCATCCTTATGATTATTTAATGCAAAAATTGTTGCCGCTACATGTTTGCACTGACCATAGATACCTCCCTTGCACTTACACGTTGTTGTAATTATTTTTCTATCTGCTGATAACTGAAAATTAATTTGTATTAAAACATGATATGAAATATTTTTATTAAAAAATTCAACAGTATATAGCTTAACAAAAGCAGCAATATATAATGTTGTTTTGTTGTCATGCAAATCATCCTGTTTGTTTATTGCAGAGATGTTATGCTGACATCTAATATTTAAAAGTGCAAATTAGCAATTTAAATGTAAAAAAATACCTTAATACAAATATAATATGATTTCTCATTAATTTTCATTTGGGGTAGGCAAGTAGTTATAATTGTACTTCTTCCATCATTTTTAATTTCTTTAATTGCAGCTATATGCTTAGCCCTTTGCAAGTAAAATTCCTTTCTTCCATCTCAAAGGTGGAAAAAAGTTGTCAGTGTGGACTGGTTGAAAACCACATGTTAAAATTACATCAGGCATTATTGACTAAAAGAGAAAAATTACACTTCAGTTAATGAAAATTCTGTATTTTAATTGTATATTTTATTTAAAACATTTAAAAATTGTAAACTTTTTCATTTTAATTTACCAATTATTTGATTTTCTATACCAAGAAACTCTTTAAATTTTTCTCCTGAGTGTTATGTAAATATTTGCCACCAAGGCAGTGCATGAGTAACTTGCACTCAGGGTCTATACATGCTTAGTAATTTACTTACGTTAAATGATAAAAATTTCAAGAAATATTACATTATCTATAAATAACAAATTATAAATATATCAAACTAGCCATATTATATTTATGAAATTTAAACATTTCAAACTCACTTAATTTTGTAATCTGTATTTTCAAAGATTATTTAGTTATGTTAGAAAATAAAAATGCTATAATTGATCAAATATCACCATTAAAAATTCTTTGTCTTTAAAACCTATAATAAATTATGCAATAATCAACTTACTACTTTGTGTAATCTTTGTTTACAGTAGCTCAAACTTGTATTAATGAAACATATCTACTATTGATTTCTATTGATTTTCATTATAATTACAAGAACCTTAAACAGTACATCAGGTATGTATATAATAGAAAAAATTTTTTACCTGGTTTTGCTGTTTCAGTTGTCTCAGTACATAATTTCTGAATTCTCTGAATTGCCACTGTATAATTCTATAAATCACAAAAATACTATATAAGTTATAATAAAACTGAAGATCAAAAGAATCATCAGTAATAAAAGTACAGTGGGTGATCGGTTAATAAACATAATCCGTTCCAAGACTTCATTCGCTATCCGTTAACCCAGCGATTCCCAACCTGTGGTACGCGTATCCCTAGGGGTACGCGATAGGTTGTTTAGGGGTACAGAAAAAAGTTAGTTATTATGGCAGAAAAAATAATATATTATGTATCACAAACTAATAGTATTAAAAAATTATTAGATAAAAAATGTTCCTTGCAACAATCACAACTTTATTATACATTTTTTCTTTTAGGTTTTTTTTCTTTAATTTAAAGTTACAATATGTAAAATTAACAATACGGTTACTCACTAAATTTCTTAAATGAGGGGTACAATCTAGAGATATGACATGTCACG